TTGACCTTGCGTACTCACCTGGATACTTGGGACCCATGGGTTGTGTTCGAGCCTTAGCACTTGCTTGTTTCCAATCAGATCCAGCTGTCCTAACTCAGGCGGTAGAATAGTGAGTCGATTTCCTTCAAGAAAATGAGTTGTTTAACTGTCACATATGCGTAAAATTCTAGAGAACCTTGGACATGTAGCTCTTTCAAGTTGGTAAGGTGTCCAACCTCTCGTGGAATTGCCAACAGATCATTATCGCGCAAAACAAGGATCTATACAAATCTATTGAAAGCATGGTCAAATGCCTTTTTTTGTTGAATTACCTACCTGAAGGTTACGCAGATTCATCACATCCCCTGGTAGCAACTCGAAATCATTGTCACCGAGGTACAAAGCTCGCAAAGTATCTAAAACTTTTCCCAATTATCAAATGGAGCTACAAGCAACATCAAAGAAAAGTCATATACAATAACTAAAGGTCGGTTTTTCAAAAGCGGTATTCGGGCAAAACTCCAATTTCGCACACTTTTCAGACCATTTGAAGGGCTGAACCACATACAAACTTCGTTAAGTGCGTAAAGTCAAGAAACAAATAATCCAAACACTTTCTAGACTGACGCTGAAGAGCTGTAACGGCTGATCGCCTTTAGCTTCTCTCTCGCCAGCTGCTCTTTAGCAGAAAGGTGAAAATCGTGATCCGCTCAGAATTGCGCTTGCGCATCGTCCCAAAAGGAGGGAGGAGATACTGTACAAAACCCCCAACACCCGATCCTTCTGAAAAGTTGCATTGGCGGAAGTTTCAGCTGGTCTTAAACGATTGTTTGCGTTCCTCGTTAAAGCACCGCTGGCGAGAGAAGCCACGGTGACCAGCGTTGCCACTGTCGCAGTCAATCCAAAAACGTTGAAAATCTATTTTTTACATCACGCTAATAAAGGTTTATTTGGGGTTCAAACGAGATGGTTTCAAAAAAGTGAAGGACACGAAGCCAGTTGTTGCCCGCATACTGCCTTAAAATTCATAAGTGTGACAGATCATA